GATGTGGGGTGGGGGTTGCGGCTTATAGTCCGGTGCGACTTATATGTTGATGTTCATGCGTTGGCGGGTGCGGCTTATAGTCCGAAAAATACGGTAATTTCTCCTTATCAATTTTACATGATTTTTTTTACTGTTCATTATCAAAATACTCTTAAACACACAACATGTAAGAAAATCTAGCCATCGTAAATAAACTTTTGTTTTGGTGCCACTGATCAAGTAAAAAAAAACTTTTTTTTTCCTGCAGGATTGTTCAAATCGAAAAAAGACTTTCTGTAAGCTTGCTTTATGTTGGACTTTCCTACTTAACTCACTGGCACCACTAGTGGTTGGAAGTGGGAACTGCGGCCACCGTCATYGTTCTTGGGCAAGGACAGGTGAGTGAAAGGACCGGGGCACTTCAGGAGGCCAATCAGATTTCAAACGGGGCCAATGCCCATGTGACCCCGCCCCTAGAACCGCCCCTGTCTTGGAAGATGGTGATTTGATGTTTTTTATGTTTTTTATCATTCTACAGGCTCTGACATGTTAAATACATTTGAAATGGAGGTTTTGAAAAAATCCGTAAAACTTGAAAAAAATCGGCAAGACTGCTCTGCCCATGCTACCTGCAAAATCATAGAAAATCTGTGTAAATTACAGACAATCTGTAAACTATGACATGTATACCTTTATGAAATAATTTACTTTTGATCATCTGGGTGCTCAAAATGGGATTAAACRAACCTTTTTAGACTGTTGCTTAATTGGTGTCAGAGTAGTGTTCTGTGCAAGTTGTCCAAGTGTATTTTGCTAAGATGCAACCCCGCATTACCTGAAAACTACAGTAAATATTTTGCACATTTACACGCTAGAAGGTAATGAAAGACATAAAGCACTTTGTTGAGCCCATAAGGCTGAAAATGTGCTATAAGTGTTTAACACTTACCTGTATTTGTCTGAAAGTAAAGTTCAGACCACATTTTTATTTTTATCACTTTTGTTCTGGTCCAGCAGTTTTTAGCCTCTGCTTATCTTGTTTCTTTGTTGTTTCATGATCATCTCTCCCCTGCTGCTTTCTCTCTGTGAAGGCGGGGCTTTCTGGCTGTGGCTCATTATTCAAATTTTCTTCACCACATTTCAGCAGTTCAAAAGTTCATCTCATGCAGGAACTCAGAGGCTTAACAGCCTAGGCTGACACAAAGTCAGGTTTCTGAATCAAATTTTAACCTGCGTTTTCTTTTTGTTTTAGAAATGTTGCAGCGTTCACCTGCCTGCTCGTCTCTTACTTTAGAAATAAAGAACTTAACTATCCAGAGCCAGGAAACCATTCATATGGAAGGAATACTTTTCACTCACCTGTTTATTACATCCATAATGACCTGTAGGGGAACAAAACAAAACAAAACAAAAACAAAACAAAAAACAAACAAAAAACGGTTTGTTTTCCGTCTCATCGTATGAGTCTGATCTTAAAAATCTGTTTGTATTTCGGCCTTCGCAAATCAAGTTCAATATTGTTCCTATTGTAAAACCTCTGGGTCTGCCGAATGATATAAAGCATTTTTTTGGTTTTCATTGGCCAGAAACCAAGTCATACAATATAATTTCTCTCTTCTGATGCAGTAGTCATCAATGGTATGTATCCAATAATTTTTTTTTATTTAACCTTTATTTAACCAGGCAAAACATTAAGAAGAACTTCTTATTTACAATGTTAGCCTGGTGGGTACCAGAGACACCCATAAGGAAAAGGTGAAGGAGAAACAAAACATCATGCAAACAAAATATCCAAGTAACATAGAGAATATATCAGATAAAAATATAACATACAGCAGGTAAAAAAAGGATTGAACA